ATGCCTACACGCTTTATTTTTTGGCCATGCTGCACGGCACGTGGGATCTTAGTTTCCTGACCAGGGATCGAAAACCCACACCCTGCAGTGGAAGTGGGGAGTCTTAACCACTGGACCATCAGGGAAGTCCCTCCCTACCATGCTTTGTCACTAGCTGGGGATGCCCTGGAAGAGTGTGCCCTTGGCTCAAAGGCTGCAGTAGATCCCGAAGCTGCTACAAATGGAGGCTGTCAGCTGACTACCTTCCTCACAACTCATCAGCTCCTTTCTCGGAGGGAGATCTGAGCAGACCATCTGCATGGCTGTCACTGGCCTCCACGCCCCACTCGGGCTGCTGCCCTACCCCTCTCCTCCCTATCACAGCCTAACTTCCCCAAAGAGCTCTCTGCTCATCCACCTTTATTTCCTTTCCTCTCACTCACTACCCAATCTGCTTTTGGTCCTTAGCACTTAGTCACTGAGACAACCCTTCCTCAGGTCAATGGTGACCTGCACATCATGAGATTCAAGGGACAATTTTTTCATTCCTTGTTTTAGTTATAAGATGAGCTCTGAAACTGTATTCATCAGTTTTTCCTGGGTTAGAGTGCATAACAAACAACCCCCCCGATTGCAATGGCTTACAACAAACATTTACTTTTCTCCCATGGTTCTGCACGTTGGCTGTGAAGGCTCTGTTTCAGGCTGTGGGTTGGGTTCAGGTCGGCACTGTGTGTGCCTCGTTCCAGGACCCAAGCTAAAGGAGCAGTGGTTACCTGGGGCATGCTCCTCCTGGAGATGAAGGCAGAAACCCCAAAGACCAAGCAAGCACATTGAAAGCTTGTGCTGGGTCACGACACACATCCCATCTGCTCATGCATGTTCCATTGTCTACAGCAAGTCATATGGCCAAGCCTGTTATCTATCAATGAGGCAGGGGAAGTATGCCTCTCCCAAAAGTGGGGAGGAGGAGAGAGTGAACATATGCTGAACAGTAGTATAACCTACCAGAAAATAACAGAGGCTTAAACAATATCCAAATTTATTTTTATCTCTCACCTATAAGTGCTGGCAGGAGATCTAGAGCTCACGATTGTGAAGGATCCAGATTCCTTCTTTCTTCTTCCTCTGCCACCCTCAACAAGGCTTCCTTCTCATGGTCCAAGATGATTTTTTCATCCTCCGCCATCATGATTTTATTTCAGCCAATGTATCAGTCAGCTTGGCTGCCATAACAAAATACCACAGACTGTGTGGCT